AGATTCATAGCCTCAAACTGGCGCATTATACGTATGTCACGGATAACCGTTAGCAATCAGATAACATTTAAAACCTCAACACAGTCCACACATCCTCAACAGTGGAGAGCCCAGACTTTCTGTACAAAGCAAAACATACTCTTTCAGTTTTCAAATGACATATTTAAAGCTTGGGGTATTATTTTGTAACCCAATGCTTATTCTTCTTTGCTAATGTTCTCTAGCAAATCGCTGAAGAAAACAACCATACTCATTCTGAGATTACCACACATGGCTTGACTGCTTATTACTTCGGTGACTTTTAAAGGCACTTGATTTTATTCATAGGGAAAGGGAGAGAACAGGGACTATTAGTAATGCACAGAGTATTATGTTAAAAATCATATACCATTTGTTTTAGCCAATTTCTTTAGTCTAACGAGTTAATTGTTAAGAAAATAAATTGACGTGTTTTATTGTGTCAGATTTCGAAAACTATTGAATTCCAATGTTACTGATAAACAAGTGAAAGATGGAAAACGATGAAAGCACACTGAAATAATTGTCTGAAATACTCACAAATACTCTAGATGAGACAGACCAGAGAAGGCATCATCTTTGATTGTGGTCAAAGAATTAGAGTTGAGAAGCCTGCAAAAGATGCACAAATAAAGCAGAAACCTCCTGTCTTTGAAAGTTTATATCCTTTGTGCAGACCCCAGTCCTCAGTAGGACAACTAAACTCAGGAAAGCTACTGCGCTAAATGTAATCACTAATCCTCTGCGTTTCACGGCACTTACAGCAACTGAAGAGAAGGCATGAGAGCAAACATCCCCTCTGTGATTTCCGCAACGGATCCATTCACTACGCTTCTACGATGAAGCACAGAGAGGACATCTTAACACCAAACACAAACTAAACCACAGCCGAGACATATTTATTCCCCACATTAAGCGTAATTTATCTTATTACCTTCTCGGGCTATTTCGCTTTGACTGAAACTATTCCCCCCGGTTGTTTACTCACAGTGAGTTGATCTCCGTCGGGATGGTCCGGGGGATCTGGGAAGCCCCGACGCAAATGAGAGTCTCCTTGGAGCAGGTGCATCCTGAAGGACATTTGACGTTCCTTCTGGATTCCGCTGCTCCTAAAAAACACAACAACACGAAAACAGCCGCTGGCCAACGCGCTGCATGGGCCATTTTGCTCCTTCAAGCTGGGAATGAAAGACTGAAGCGACGGTGGTCAGGTTGAGCCGCTAATGCGTGCGCGACATCAGTATGCAGCAGCACCAGCAGCAGCGCAGAGAAAAGCCCTGACACAGACTGTTACGGATGCAGCTGCGAACAGGAAGGCTGCTGAGCTTGGGCAAAAATAACAATCAATGCATGAGTATTGGTTTTCAGTGAGAACTGCTAATAAGATAATTTTATATATATATATATATATATATATATATATATATATATATATATATATAAAATAAAGGGAATATAAAATAAAATATTCAAGAACAAAAATCTGAAAAGAAATAAAAAGTTTAGAATATTTATAGGTTATATATTTTAATGTTTTAGTAGTTAAACCTAATTTGATTCATGTATTTATTTATTTAAGATCTGTATGTTCTGTAATATTTATGAGTCAGATTTTAATTTGACCATGCATCTGTAGTTTGTAATCTTTCTTTCTGGTTTACCTTTACTCCACAAATTTCTGAGCTGGCAGTGAAGATAAAATTTTAATCCGAACAAACTTTCGCTATGTCATTTTGAAAAGTCTCTTTTCAAAAATCGTCTTGCGTGTAAATGTGAGCTGCAAAGAGGAACTCAGAGTTTTAGATGAAGCAATGAAAATCTCCAAGTTACTCTCCAGGTTGAATGCAGTTTAACATTAAAACTGAAACTAAAACTATACTTATCCATTTTAAGTAGAGAAACATCGTATGATGTTGCACAACAATACCGTACAAATAAATAAAAGGATTTTTATTATTGATTATCTCAGTTTTGGTCTTTGCATTGTTTCAAAAGACAGAAAAAGTCAAGTGGTGCAGTGGAGCTATGAATGCAGGTACATGAACACACCACTAGAGGGAAGCTTTTAATAGAGAAATGAGAAGAGGCGACTTGTCTTAGAAGAAACAAACAAAAAATAAAATAAAATAAAACAATCACTGTTGTTGTGGTTTTATCTTTTGTATAGTATTTGTTGTATTTCAGATTTTTTTTTTTTCTGTTAAATGTAGACATGTGATTGTTGTACTTTATTGATAAATTTTAGTCATTAACCCATAATGAAATTTTCCCCAGATTGCAGGAAAGGAAGAAAGTTGTGAAGACGTGCAGAGCATGATCAGCTTATAAAACAATATCCAAAGTTCAAACTGTTCAGTCCCTGATTTGGTACCAACTCCACAGATCTGGCTTTTGTGATGAGGTGGCGAGAAGAAAGAAAATTCTATTTACAGTTTTGCAATTGATTTATGTTGGTGGAAAGCATGTTGAGGCAGGTGACCTGTGTGTAGCCAGCAACAACTAATGTACATCACCTTTAGCCCCCCATCCTAAAGCATGATCAAGGTAAAAACTCAGAAAAAAGAATTGGCAGCATCATGCTAGGGGAATGCTTATTTTCAGCAAGGATGGAGAAGATCATCATCTGATGAAGTGTGCTGAGTTAAAAAGAGGCTTCAAAATTTCCCCTTCAAAATTTCACAGACAAGAATCCATCCAATCTGACAGCTTCAGCTATTTTGCACAGAAAACATGTCATCTGAGCAACATTTCCTGATTCCCACTGCCAATTCTGCAGCTTTTGCTCGTGAAACTGTCTCCTTCAGCCCAACCTACAGGCTGACTGTCGATTTTCCTACTTCAGCATGAAGATTTGTGAGAGCCAGTGGGGGCTGAGGGCTGAGCAAGGCACTCCTCATACACTCAGTTCCTTATTTTGATTAATGGCAGTCATGATTTAGCACCTGCTGTTTTAATGTGGCCACAGTAAGAATCTGATCTCAACTTGCTTGCGTGAGCTGTGCCCTCATTTTAAATAGCAGCCTAAGTTTGTCAGCTTTGTGTAAGCCACTTCAACCTGTTTACATGTTGTGATGCCTCTAACATAAGGAAAACCTCACGGAAACATTACAGAGTTAAGACCACAAATCCCCCAGTAATTCTGCTTTTATAAGGCTATAAAAAAAACATCTAAGGGTTAATTTAGCGTGCACTCAGAGATTACAGAATCATTTTATAATTAGAAGTCACAGACACTCCCGCAGTCTTTTTATATTAAACCTGACACAGCAGCATTTTATGAGGGGTCACATGTTAAAAAGGTTAAGAACAGTTTTATTAGCTGATCAAATGTCTTAGATTTACTTTTATGGAAAAGATTAATCTGTAAATAACTGTAGCTGTCGAGCGAATGTGACGGGTTACATTTTATAACACAACAGGCTGCAGAGGCTCGAACGGCCATGTAAATGAAATACTCAGGCTAAGTTCTGCACACTTCAAACAGTGTGCTTGTGGTGTTGCTCAAAAGCATTGGGTGGGGGGTTCTTCCTTTTTAAGGTTTCCACTGCTGCTTCCATAGCGGCACCGTAACACCTTCTCCATGTTACTGACAATGAGACTAAATGTGGGATTTGAGGGCGTCAGAAGCTTTATACCGGTGGCCTCTGTCCTTGATACTGCTGTCGGTGTGCCCTCCACATGCAGCAACTGTTGGCCTGCCCCCTCCCCACCGCATACCACAAATCTGGGGCCCTGTCCAGGAACAACACTTGTGTCTTCAAAACCTAGACAGACGTCTGACAACTGGATCCCTGATATGCAGGGCATCCCAATTCAGCGATGTTAAGGAGGGAGAGAGCATCACTACTAAAAATGTTTGGGACAAAAACATCTGCATAAGAATGAATCTGTCTGTCTGTCTGTCTGCATGCCTTCCTGCATGTCTGTCTGTCTGTCTGTCTGTCTGTCCAAGATAATCTGAAGGAGAATTCTTTGTAAGCAGCTGTTTCGCTGAGTGAACGTTGATCCGCTGGGCGTTGCTGTGTCTTATGTTATAAATACCAATATGTGCTGCTGTGGATAAAGATAAATCAAAGCAGCTGAGTGCTTCATTTTTTTTTTCTTTTCACCTTTTATCAAATTACTTTTTATTTTGGGAATAAACATCACCAATATATTGAGCTTAATATATTAAGCTTAGATAATATAAGCTTATATATAATGCTTATATATAAGCTTATATGCTTTAGACTTTTTATAAAAGTCTGAAGCAATAACAGCATACAGTGTTATTATGAAGAAAAACTCATCCTGCACTATTTTTGTCTTTATTTTCTCTCTAAATTTTCAGCCCTGTCTTTTTCCTTTCTCTTTGGCATGTTGTCCGATTAGGACAGGCTGCTTGTATCTATCTGTCCGAGTCTGATGTCATGCTTGACACCATGCTAGAGATGGTGCTACAGTCTGTGGGTGACAAATAAATAAATAAATAAATAAAAATGTGACCACCAGCTGCTTCAGCCTGGAACCGACCAGATGTTCAGAAAACTTCCTGCTTGCTGGAACCGTTTTAAGAAAATGTGCCTCCTTTAAACAGAAAGACTTACTGGTTTTATTTGAAAACCAGTAACTCTTACTGCAACAAAGTTGCAATAAGAAACGGGCGATTTAAAGGAGAAAGCAGAGAATGTCTAACTCAGAATGATCTACTTCTCATAATGTCGCAGCTCAGATGAAAACTCTTACTTTCGTTCGCGCTTAGGAGGAGCTGTTCTTCTAGGAGAGGTGCTGAAAACTTTAGTTACCAAAAAAAAAAAAAAGACGTCTGACGGTGTCGTGGGAATTTTTGTGGGACTCCCCCAACACACACCCCTCCATTCTGTCTCTCAGCCACTCTTACACACACACACACACACACATACACCCACACACACACACGCAAAAACGCGCGCACACACACACACGCAAAAACGCGCACACACCCTCCTGGCCGCCCCCAGGCTCCTGCCTGCAGAGTTTTCCGTCCAGTGTCGGAGTAACATCGTAAACGAGGACCACCTGACGGTAAGTCCGGACTAAATGGAAGCAGCGGAGAAAACTCTCACGTACCGAGATGACACCGGACTTCACAGCAACAAGCTGCTTAAACATGTCAAGAAGGAGGACAGCGAGGACCGGCGCGCGGAGACAAACTGCGAGGAGTCCAACTATGTGGATCTGGACATGAGACCCGACGCGCTGAAGACGGTGAAAGTGACTTTCACCGGAGAGGGGAGCCAGCTGTCGGTGATCAAATCGGACAGCTCGAAGCAGGAGGAGAGCAAAACCGCCTCGGCCGAGTCCCTGCCGGAAAGTCCGACCAAACTCACCACCGCAGAGCCGGACTCAGAGAGCGAGAGGCAGACCGAGCTGGACTCCACCGAGCTCAGCGACAGCGGCGAGCTGCGCTACACCGACATGTGTCTGAACGGCAAGAGCGACTCCGAGCTGTCCGAGTCCCACTACATCACCACGCACGAGATCCAGCTCACCGAGCTCGACCACGACGTGGACTACGACTTGGGCCGCGGGACCCGCTGGGAATTTGAGGACGGCAACCTGGTCTACGCCTTTGTGGATTACGCCTCTTTCGAGAGCGAGGACAACCAGGAGGGCACCCTGATCGTGGAGCGCGGCCGGAGCCAGCCGAAGGCGCAGTCTAATCTTAGCGGAGCGGCTGTCAGCACCGAGCAGGAGGAGAGTGATCTGTGCGCCAGTTCGGATGAGAGCCTGTGCAGAACCCAGAGTGGCGGTGACCCGTCTGCGGGGAAGATCCACCTGTCTATTAAAACCTCCTCCAGGGCGGTGAACGACCCCGCAGGCGTGTTTGACAATAGCGCGCAGTGGTGCGCCAAACACCTCGGAGATGGGAGCCATTTCTCTTTTGTGAACCCTGGCGCCAGAGCGGGGCCCCTGTGCGATAGGGGTCAATATTTCATCCCGGCTCCGGGCCGTCAGCACCTCGCAACCAAACTGAGACGGAAAGATATTAATGAGTATTCCAGCGGAGCGTCCAGCTCTATCAGTGAGCTGGACGACGCTGATAAAGAGGTGCGTAACCTAACCGCCAAGTCTTTCAGAAGCCTGGCATGTCCCTACTTTGATGCCATCAATCTCAGCACTTCCAGTGAGTCATCCATGTCAGAATATGGCCTGAATAAGAGGTCAGCTTATCTGGACTGGAATTATGGAAATATTACACACAATACCTCCAGTGCAACACTGGAAGTGAGTAAGACAGTGCAGGATAGTAAGAGGAACATCAGATGCAAAACTGGTGTGAAAGATCAGCAGACAAGAATCTGCGCCCTGAACAAGAGAATTACTTCACAGCACACATCTTCAGGCAGAACGCTCCAAATGAAGGAACAGTCAGCACAGCAAGGGGTTACACTAAATTTTCACTGTAATGTTGAGTCCAGAACTCCCCGGGGCTCCAAGTGCTTCCAAAAGGATCGACCCAATGAAATGTTGGCCAGATCGGGGTGTGAGATGCAGCATCATCACACAGACACCTCGGGAGACACACACAAGAGGGCTATTTTTGCTTCGAGTCTGCTGAAAAATGTGATTTCCAAAAAAATGCAGTTTGAACAGGAACGCAAAATGGAGAGGGGAGAAATCTCAGATACTTACCCCTCAGGGTCCCCCTGTATTCACTTTAGAGATCTAGAGGGCATGAAGGAGAGGAATGATAGCAGAGGCTTACATGGGCAAACCTCAGAATTAAGAAACTCTGTGAACTCCCCTGAAGATCACAGATCCAGATCCAGCTCCTGTGGGCCTGCAGAGGAGACAAAGGGTGAAGGAAAGGCTGCAGATTGTTCAGGAGAGCATCAGGAAACAGCACAGGAGCCGCAGTCTGGGAAGGAGGCAGACTCAGCAAGAGAAAGACTGGACTCCAGCAGCGTTCTAACGAAGCTTCTGTTTGTTCCAAACTGCCAGTTTCTTTCCAAAGACGGAAACCTGGCAGAGGGTTTAACACCTGGCACAGGTGCAAAGACATGCGAGAAAGACCTGCAAAAGTTGGAAGACAAAAATGCAGAAAATAAAGAAAAACAGGAGAGGGTGGGGAAAGCACCCGAGATCAAAATCTGCCTGAGAAACGTAAAAGAAAACAAAGGCTGCACTCTGAATATTGCAAATCTCCTCACACCCAAAATCAGTAACAACATCAACAAATACAGGACAGCGGACAATGGCAGGTGTCATATTTTATCCTCAGGAGACAAGGCTCAGAGTTTCACCGTCAGAGACATCAGGGACACAAAGTGCAAATTTCAGACACCAATATATCACGTCAGGGATGTACGTAAGTTAGTGAAAAGCTCGTATCGTTTTGTCTCTTTGAACAGAAGTGACCGTAGATGTTCCATAGTGGCCGAGGAGAAAACTAAAGTGGATCCAGAAAAACCATCCCCCATTGTGATCAAATGCAACTCTGTTAACACAAACATTAAACCAGAGTCAGACGACACAACACAGGCACAAGTGGAGGCAGACACCATGCCTGACACCTCCTGTAGAGTAGCCACTGTTACGGCAAGACAAGGAAATCTCAATCAGTCTGAGACGCAGCAAAATCTTGAGGGCAAACTGGAAAAACAGAGACAGGATAGGTTCACTGGGGAGACAAATGAAAGGAGAAATGATCCCACAATGCCAAAACAGGATGCCCTAGAAAAGCTCAAGGCTGCAGTTAAAACCATGGAGCAGCTTTATGTTTTTGACAGGAATGAATGGAAGCGTAAAACCCAAGCCTCTCACCCAGTCGCAGACAGCCGCGTGCTGCCGCTCCTCACCATGCAGGATCATGGAGTTGCAGATGAGCAGGAGGTGAAAAACATTGGCAGGATACCTCAGTCTCTCACAAATGGCAAAGAAATTCAGAAAAGCCAAGGAGATAGAACATCACTGAATATAATTCATGTTTCATACAACCAGAACCCTTTCAAAACACAATCGCAGCAAAGCAAAACCTTCACCAACAAAAGCATCCTGCATTTTGCCAATAAAAAACACAGCAGCATAAATGCACAAGATTCTGCTTTACAAGCAGAATCCGGAGTGAGAAGCTCCAAAACGTCGACGGTTAAACCAGCTTCTGTAAAAATGGTGGATCAGGATGAGGCCAAATCCAGTTTCACGGATCCCACCACCACAAAGAGTTTCCTGGATTCTGAGAACTACCTAACCATGCCAGGGATTGGCTGCACAAATGAAACCAAGCTGCTCAATCAAAAGGGGGATTCAAGTTCTGGCAAAACAAATTCAGGTGATATCAAGGTGCCAGAGCAAAGCAAGTCACATGTAACTATGGACTGTCCTTCTGCAACGATCTACCACCTTCCAACAGCAGCGACAAGTCCTCAAAATCAGCAGCAGGTGTTACGCTTCTCCCCCTCCATCAATATGTCCCCAACACCCTCCGGAGGAGAAATAGTCCCTCAAACCCAGCGCAAGATGCTCCTGGACCCCACAACTGGACATTATTACCTGGTGGACACTCCCATACTGGCCACCACCAAGAGACTTTTCGATCCAGAGACAGGCCAGTACGTGGATGTCCCCATGCCTCACTCACCCATGGCGTCCGTCACACCCGTACCTTTCTCTCTACCCCCCGTAGCTCTCGCCCCCACCTACGTGGTCTACCCAGGCTTCATCTCTCCTACGTTGGCAGCCCAGGCGGTGATGCCGCAGTCCCCCTGTCAATCGGAGGACGCAGCAGGAGAAAGCATCAAAAGCAATCAGATGAGCCCGGGTACAGAGAAGGCTTACTACAGCGCGACGGCAGAGGCTCAGCAGGGGCCGCTTCATCTGCCGCTGAGTTTGGGACATGTGTCCGCTAAAGGAGGGCCTGGAAGCTCTGACAAAAAGGCACTTATCAGCATCACAACACAGCAGGGTCCAAGAATCATTGCTCCACCCTCGTTTGATGGGAAAACTATGAGCTTTGTGGTTGAGCATCGGTGACCAAGAGGACTTCTCTTCACATATGTGAGTCAAAATGAACATAAATTAATCAAACTAATCCAGATCTGAAAAAGGATCTTAGTCTAAATGTCAAAGTATTAACAGACTAGGTGTTAGATGGACAAGCTTTCATAAATCTGACATGTGTCACAGACTGTAGATCCTCCTGCAGACAGATGGGGAAAAAATTCATACAAACCAGAGCCAAGGAGGAGGATAGTGATACAAGTTCAATAAACTTGATTCTGTTTTTATATAATAATAGTACATTTCTACGTAAAACACTTTGTAAAATAATCTTTAAATGCTAAAAAGTAAAAGAAAATTGCAGACTATAACACAAAAAATCCTCCAGCGTACAGGTAGTAAAAGCAAAAAAAAAAAGAAAACACACACACAGACACAAAGAGAATATAAAAGTTAAAATGTATTTGATGAAGGAAGATTTTTAGTCTTTTTTTTGAAACTTTCCAATGTTTGTGAGGTCCTCCATTTGTCAGAATGGGAATTGAACAGGAATGGAGCAGCAGAGGAGAAAGCCCAGTGCTGCATGGCTCTTTGTCCTGATGGGGACAAGACGGTCGAGCTTTGAAGATCAGCTCCAAAGTTCAAATGTGGAAACAGATACTAAAGAGATTTGCCACTGATGCACTGCAACCTGAAGATATGCAGAGACAGAGATCCAGTTAAATCGAGATATTTTATGCTGCATCTTGTCAGCATTGATACAGCAGTGAATAATGATAATTGTTATTTGCCACTCATATTTACCTGTTAACTCTGCATCTGACCAGACAGATCAGCATTGGGGTATCACAAAGAAGCTCTGCCCTGAACAGTTTCACGTTTTCATTTTAGAAACAACTTACTTGTGAGAGAAACGTACTCAGCATAGGCACGGTTTTATAAACATTTTTTATTTCAAACACACATAAAATTGTCTTTGCTGACCCTGTTTAGCTTGCTGGTGTTCAAAGTCCGAAGATTAAACATGCAACAGATGTAAATAATAATTAATACCTTATCTCTACAACATATTCTCACAGTTACACATTTGGTCAACATCCACCCTATAATTTGAATACAAATTAATAAAACCACGTTAAGAAATTGGGATTTCTAACAGTTTTGTTACAATAAATACTTAACAGGATGTGAAAAAAAAACTTTCTGGTATATCAATATGACCTGACACAGTTCTCTTTGTCATTTTATAAATTGGAAAGACAGGGAAACGTGTGGAAAAATAGAAAAGTGTATAAATGTGAATAGCAGTGCAATGAAAGTTATTGGAAGAGTATTACCCAAGCTCATCTTGCCGCGTTGCACAATGAGAATGATAAAGAAAGTTTAAGAGGCCCAAAAAGGTCACTGAAAATTCGTGTTGTCTTGTTAGCAATGTTGGTTGTGAGAAGTTTTTGATTTGTCATATGTACAGAAAATGTTCTTCATTTAACTTAAATTGAGTTCAAAAGTACTTTTCATTCCCACAGGTTGCAATAAAAAATATCAATCCGTCTATAGGGCAATAAATATGAACAAACCATGTAAAATTGTAATAATTGGAAAGCATTAATATCTCAAAGCAAAAGTCAATATTATAAATAAAGGTTCAAAACATATTTAAATAAATAAAAAGACCAAAAGCCAAAAATACTCTGGAATTTCAACTTCAACACAAGCAAAAAAAATCGGAACATAGAGGCAACATTACCAATAAGCATTGAGATCACAGTTAAGAGGAGAAAATGGGCATTTTCTCTTTAGTTTTTGCTTATTGTGCTGTTTTTTGTGTTTTCCATGTTTTCTCCAAGCAGCAATATAACCTACTGTAGCACTTTAGCAGCACTCTGACAGTGTTAATAGACTTGCAGTAGCTCCATGACAGGTAACCTGACTCCCCTGAGAGATTGGATTTTCATCCTTGAGCCCTTTCTTTTTTTCTGCATCACACATCGTCGGACTATTTTAATAGTGTGAGGCAAGTTTGTTTACACGGTTTATTCTCAGGGTGTCGCTGGAAACTATTCCAGTTAGTGACGCCTTAACATTAAGTTATTCTTAATCAGCCATTAAGGTTTTTAATTTCCTATATAGCATTACAGATCACTATTCTGTCCATCCCTTAGGCAGGTTTACTAGAGCCTGAAGTGAAGCATTTTGTTAGACAGAGTCATTTTATTAGATTCATTTAGATGACTGTGCTAAGATAAAATAATGATGTCATGGCTTTCTAAGCTTCTGAGAAGTTGATATATAACATCTGAGCACATTGGAGGCATACATGGGGATGCAATTTAAGGCAACACCACAACATGCTGCTTTCTTAAAGGCCATAATGGAAAAGAATCAAAAGAAATCAACCAAGATACCAGGAAGAGAATTTTGGACCTCCACCAATCTCTTTCATACTTGGGTACAATTCCCAGGTGCAAGAAGGCAGATGTGGACCATATCCACCACCATACAACTGTATTGGTCCCATAAGACAGTTTTGTATGTTTTATAATTAATTGCCTATCAGTTACACAACATCTCTCATAATGCAAGCTGTACTTGTGGAAGAATTAGATGTAATAAGGAGATTTTTGTCCTGGCAAGTTATAAAAACCTAAGTCAGCCTCACCACTGGGTTCCCAAGCGCATATTTTGCACAAAATATGCACAAACTTTAGTAAAGTTGACATGCACTAAAGTAATCTGGAACTGTTTTCTATTCAATTTGGTTGTGACCTTGAGAGAACACTTGCTAACGTCCAGAAACAGTTTGTCAAAGTGCAGTTTACCAGCACACTGAAAGCAAATTACAATGCCAGCACCGTTGCTCCACTTCATCCTCAAAATGATACCACACACCAGCCTCCAACCTGCTCACTTGCACTGTGTGTTTGGTAGTAAATAGATCTTCTGATAATAAACAAGAAGGTGCATTGATGCTAAACTGATACACACCTCGAAAGTAAAATACTAAGAAAAACTACAATGACTTTTGGGAGACTGTTCACATGAAGCTTTTGAGATTAGAGAGTTTTTGTCACTCAAAGATTCATTTGATGCAGGTAAGAGTGAAGCTGTCCATCGAAGCCCAAAACAACTGCTAAAAAAACTAACATGTAGGTTACATTTTACTATTTCATCTTTTAAGCCAGAAAAAGATAAAATAGTAAAATGTTTTGAAGGCATATTTAAGACAAGCAGTAACTTTTTTTCACTCCCCTAATGCATAGTTTATAATGCCTAAATCTGAAAACTTTCTTTTCATGTTCTAAAATCAAATCAGATGGTCAAGGTGTTTGTACCTATGAAAGGCAAACATAAACATGAAGACAGATGGGAAACTAAGTCAGGTCTTGTGGGCTGTAACTTTACGGTCCTTATAGTTATTTTCTTCATGGATTCACTGAAGTTTATTTTCACTTCAATTGATACAGAAAGAACTGGGAAACTAAGTTTACTTTAGGGAGGTTATCGATATCACACGTGTTATGTCCCTTATCTGTGTTGTACATGTGTCTGTATTTAGGTGTTTTCTGGGCTGGTGGCCAAATCCCTCAGAAAGAAGCAATTACTCATCCTGTTAATTCAGGTGTTCAGTACATTTTCCTTGACGAAAGAGGATAAAACAAGAAGTAATCAGCGTGAGCCTGGTCCACACTGATACAGGATATAGAGTATAGCTCCTAAAATCTTCCCACCAGTTCCTTATACCGACATCAGATCTCCCTCGTTGTTCACGCTAACTCCTTTAAAAAGGAAAAGTTTCTATTGAGTTCCCTTTACCAGGAAGTGAGGGTTCAAAAATCCTGGTGAGGTCTTTAAATGCAGGACAAACTGCAGGTCGATTAATGACTAGGGGTCGATTAATGACCCCTAGTCATTAATCGAGAGTAGATACATTCTCAGCTTCCTAAAACCCACAATGTGGACTTCATTCATGGGACCTGATTATTGACCCGTATGACTGACCGCCTGTCTTTTCTGGGTTCCATCATTATATCTGCTAGTCTCACCACTGTGATGTCAAGACAGTATCATGAGTTAAATATAACCAAGTCTACCATTGAGTTATTTAACTGTGTGAGTATGTACCTTCAAAACTTTTACAATAGCGGTTTAATAGCAGTTTGACTTTGTTTCAATTGGACCTTAAAACTAAACAAGGAGCTATTGTCAAGATTATCCTCTGAACCATTTAAATTTGTAATTCTTTCTCAGATGTACACGCTCACACCTTGCTAGAGGTCTCTCGCAGCTAATGTGTCAGAGCAAGAACACAACTGCATGAGCGTGGGGGATACATGTCAGCCGAGAGTGTGGCAGCCAGAGGCCTAGTATGGGGTTGAGTAGTGGTGTGAGGGCTACATGAGATGTGTGGAGCTGGCGCTGGTCTCTCATGCAGTTGGGTTGGGGGGGATTCAGGAGGGGCTATTGGGGCATGGCTGGAATAGTGATGCAGGAGGAAAAGGTCAGGCAATGCAAAGTATTTGTTGTGCTGATGCAGGGAGAGGACAGCTGCTCGGAGAGATCAGATGCTGCTGCAGCTCTGGCTTGGGAGCGAGTCTGTTGGACTGCGAGAGGGTCAACTTTTTATAGCCCCCCTCACCCCACTTTACACTGTGCCAGACCCCCTCCTCCACCACTGCCTATTACTAAATGCGGAGAAGGAGTCAGAAATCACTGCTGACCTTCATTCCCTCTGTGTAAACTAATTGATTAGTTTCAGCTCGTTGTTCCCTCCAACTATGATTGGTTAAATGTAGTGAGCCAAAAGGCTAACTACAATATTGTACAGCTTTTTTTCCCCTGTTTTGTTACATTAGACGCACAAACTTCAATTTGTGTTTTAGTGGGACTCATGTGACAGACCAACACAGGCAAGGATAACTGTGAGCTGAAAGGAGAAATGTAAATAAAAAATACAAATGTCCTCTGTTTATATGACTTTATCTAATGTCTTCTTAATTGTCTCCTACTTTAATGTGTTTGACTAATCAAGCAGGCGATATTAATAAAAAAATTTGCATATTAATAAAAAAGTAAAAATCAGAACACCCTCCCTCCTAATAATTAATCTTTCATCACTTAATTTAAATAACGTCAGTGAGCTGCTTCTTTATCTACCAGTCTCTTACATCAGTCCGAAGAATGCTTTTCTAGTTCTTCACTTTCAGCTGGGAGATGTTTAAGGGTTTCTTCTACAAACAGTCAATTTCAACTCACATCTCAATGAAATCAAGATCTGGATCTCAGCCAATCTTTTGTGAATGTGTGGGTTTGTTTTGAGTCACTGTCCTCTTGCAGGTTGACATTTAATATCAGAGATGATCTCCCATTTTCCTCAAGCGATCTCTGATGGTACAATTCACGGTGGATTCTGTTTTGGTGGTTTGATCCTGACGCACCAAAGTGTCACATCAAATTCACTTTTAGGTCTGTGCTTCATGGTTGGAAGTTATTTCAATGCTATGTTTGAGTTTTGTCAACTCACTGCAGAAGACTGAAGACAGAATATGATGAAGATTGTTTCACACTACAGAAGATTTGAACAGACCAGTGAAACTCTGGGAGAATATGGTGTGGTCAGAGGTCACATGAGGTCAAAGCTATGCGTTTTTGGGCATCAGCATACACACTATATTTGCATAATAGTTCTGCACACAAAAAAAACTAAAAGCTGCTTAAATTACCCAGTTAATCAGTTCACTTGTAAGAAACTTAAATTCTATTGAAAGATGAAAAACATATTGCCCGGAATCTTCAAGATTCTAAGAATTTATGTGGAAGAAAGAGTGAAAATTACACCGGAACAATGAATTCACTAATTTATATAGATGTCTTGAAGTTACCATTAACAAGAAAAGTCTTTATCTACAGAGTAAATAAAATTCCATAAACATGTTAACTATTCAATGCGCTGTATATTTGAATATGTATGCATAACATTTCATTGCTAGTAATTGGTGGACTAATTTGTGTGAAAAATGTAACATCTGGAGTACATTCATGTCAACAGGACATTCTATGTATTCATTTTATTTATATATTCATTCATCATTTATATAATTAAAAAAATGGTTCACCTAACAAATATGAACTACTTGCAGGATTGCAAGTAATTCAGATTGGGATTATCACAATAATCCCAATAAAACTCATTAAAACTAGTGTTTTTGATGCAAAAATACGTGAATAAGTATTCACATGTCATACTTTGGAAGGCAAAGAATAGCTTTGCATATAGCTTTGTGAATAGCTTTGTGAATAGCTTTGTGGAAGGCACTTGAATGTCAATACAATGAACAATTTAGGAAAAATGTATTTTGGCATCTAAACTCGTCAATTCTTTCTTTTCTTTCATTTCCAGATAGCTCTGCTGAGGAATCCACCTTCATTCACTGTAAGTGGAGTTTTCATCCTGTGACCTGCTCTCTGGACAACTTCCACCATCAGCCCTTCACCTGTCTCTCTCTGTTCTGCTGTTTGTTTTTTTTTTTTGTTGTTGTTTTTTTTCTGTATGCATTGTAGCACTTTATAGATATGAATCGTAGAGATACTTTCCATTCAGGTGCTGTGTAGATTGGTCTGTATTTAAATGCCATGTGTGCCCTGCAGTCTATTCAAAAGGAAACAAGGCAGTTCTGTCACAATAAAGTGTTATTTACGGCCAATCTGTTTTATTAATATGTTAATGACAATATGTACTTAGATTGTTTATCTGATAAAACACAACAGACTCCCGTGAGTAAAATTTATGTACATAAAAAAAAAAATAAAAAGTAGCATCATTAAAGTCAGACTGTTTGTTTCTAGCACATCGTAGTCTCGTGTCACCTGACTGAGTCTGCTTGATGATAATAAACCCTAGATATACTATTATTAACTAGCTAGGCCATAATGTCATGGCTTTTAATAGAGGTGTCATAAAGGTATAACTTCAAACAAATCAAATTTCTTGTTGAGACATATTTGTTTGCTGGCTTGTGCTCTCATCACTATTTTATTTGCAGTTTGCTAAAAACATAACTAAAAAGAAAAGTTTCTGATTTCAGCAGAGAAACTGTAGCAAACTGGAAGCTAAATTTTTTCTCTTCCTGGTGGATCCGTTTTTGAAGGTCACAAAGGGAACAGAGTCAATCAGAAATTCAAAACATTATTTCTGGGGAATCCTGCTGTTTGATGTTACTGACATACTGGAGTTATCACATGTTATCACCTTGTTGCCTTAATGTATTTATAGTGACCTAGAAAAAAAATCATTTGTGTTTTTGTTGTTCTAAATGAAGTAGAGATTGTCCATTTGAATGTGGCTTAAATAATACATATAAGGTTAGGTATTTATGATCAAAATTCTAATTATTTTTGGAATAACTAAAACCAATATATTGCTGCAATGTGCATTTAATGTGAATGCTGAGGTGTTTGGAAAATGCACCAGCAACCTTTGGCGATATACATAGTGGTGTGGTGGTTTGAGGAAAATAGGGGAAAACTCACTATTGGAAAGCCAATAGTTAGTTTTCTGACAACTCTAATGTTGGGTAGGGTGGCATACCAGACCTTGTATCCCACCCATATGTCTGTATTTTCTAGCTTTGACCAATAAGTTGAAGATGTCCAGAGCAGATGTCCAAATGCAGCATCTTTGCTTCATTTGTAGGTGGTTTTGACAAGCTCTGAAACATTTTAGTATGGCATTTTCCATTTGTTTGGCAAAAATACAATTGTCGAAGTACCAAGACTTGAACATTTTGATCTTTCTCACCAACTAAGACTGCCACTTCTGTTCTAAAATCTGTGTGGTCAAAGTTTCCTCAGTAGTTAAGTAGATTAAATGCTGAGAAATAAGTTGTTTTTGGCTTGTGATGCTAAATAAACAAATGTTTCTAGTGTGAAGACTAGAAACTTGATCATGAGTAGGTTTGGCATAACATATTTCTGAGATTTGAGCTTTACCTAATGAATGTTTAATCTCATGAAGATAATAAATTAAGGATGAATTTGATATTTTTGAAAGAAACTCAGCTTAATCATCCTTCAAAATAAAACTCCGGTCTTTCACGATTAAGAGAGGCCGGTGTTAGAGTGTGTTTCTTTAGGCTGATGTTGACTGAGCATAGATGTAATTGTGTATATGTGCAACAAGTATTACTTTCTTATGTGACACAACTGTATAAAACAGACATGGTAAGTTATTTTATTGAGCTGAGCAGCTTTAAGCAAATTATCTCTCTCTATTGGCACACATATATAGATAAATATAATTCTGACCTATCAATAATATCTATCAGGCTCTTGTTCAGATTCCTGTGGAGACATTCCTGACAAATCCAAGTAGAAAAAAAAAGATCACAGGATGGGCCCAGAATACTCTGAAGGAGTTACTGTCCTGTCCTTTACCGGAATGTCTCAAGGTCCTCCAGGAAAAAACTGGAAATGTTGCTAAATGGAGAGAGTCATGCTAGCTACCTGGACCAGCAGAGGGGCAAAAAGTTCGTATCAGCGCATGCTAATACAGTATCAATGTGCCAAAGTGTGAAATGAGTTTTGAATCCCTAAAACGTAATAACTGCAAAATAGATATGGACTTGTTAGAGTTGTCTTAACAAAAGATGAGATCGTGTAGATCACTGCTGGGTAAAAGTCCTCTAAACTACTTTCAGCAGTGTAGTTGTGCATTAAAAAGGGATCGAAATACTTGTGATTTTTCACACTTATCTGAGGAAAGGGACCATTTAATGAATGTTCAATCACTCCAGACCTTCTGCTGCAGCGTGTCTGGTCTATTACATATGTAAAATCATTACATTTATTTTCAAGTAAATACCAGTCATATCAAGAGAATGTGGTTTTCCTTTGTGTGCTATCACTAAACCCTTCCACAGTAACCTTTTGGTTTCCATCAGCTTTTCTGTTGACATCAACTCCTTGTTGTGTCCAGTGAAATGCGTCTTAATGGCCACCAGCATGATGTATAAATGAAATGTTTTCTTCTTATTATTATTAATATTATTAATATTATTTCCTTAATGCACACCTCTTGTTTTTCCTAGTGAGGTGAGATGAGTAACACTATGCATGTTGCTCAGATGAAAACAGAGCTACGATTCAGATTTAGCACTGAGCTCAGGTCACTATAAGTAGTGTTGGGCCTAATGAGTCGGTGCCAACTGAGACATTTACAGGATAACTTCCTCTATTTGTCTTGGTTCAGGTTACACTTTTGTGTAATGAGATGGGAGTGGGTGTGCTTGCGTCTGAATGCGTCCGCGTTTGTGGTCGTGAGCTATGCGTGGCATTCGAGCATTCTGTGAGCACAACGAGGAGTTGCGTTACTTCCCTGCAAACAGGATCACACAGAGTGCACATGTGTGAAGCGTGTCTTCACGATTAGCACACACTGTAGTACCAGATTTTAAAGACACTTTAGAGCGAGCTGTTTGGTGCAAAACGGTAATTAGAATTACTATCCAAAATGAATTTTTGTTCCCCCTCCCCATGATTCTGTCTTTTTCAATATTTAAACAATAATATTTTTGATTCTTTTCAACACATTTTCTGTCATGTTTCCCACTGAATCTGCAGCAGGGCCTCATTGGTCTTTGTGCTAACATGAACCAGCATCCCTCTGAGCATAATACCAACCGTAGATTTGCTATCTGCACAATGTTTCAAAACTAAGCACAACCTAAAAGGTATTTGGAGCTGCTGGTCAGTCTACTTACCTCCATTTAAAATACATATCATTTCCCCATCGCATGCCCTGAAAGTTTATTTTAGGTTTTGAACACATTTTGCTAACTTTTCTGAAGGGTTTGTGCTCAAGAGCCTAATTGGCAGTGCAATGTTTGATACAATTTGAAGTGCTTTGTAGCCTGAAGTTGTTGGGAACTGTTTAAATCAAGCTACTGATACCTAAACAACCTGTAAGAAAATAAACACAGATCACCTGAAAACTTGACATAGCGTTTCCAGTGTTGGATGCCTTAACAAAAATTGTGTTTCTCCAATTTTTAAGAACTTTTAAGCTTATTTTACTGGAACATGTGAAATTTGGAATGTAAATTTTATTTCATTCTATTTTCTAAATGTTGCACTTGGGCGGTCACCAAAAATGAAAGTTAAATGTCAATGTCTGTAACCGTGGGTGACAAAAGCACTATTGAGACATTTTTATTTACCATTTTTATTCTTTATGCGAAGAATAAGATGCCGGTTATGTTATACACTACCTTCCAAAAGTATTAATATCTTTGGTCAAAATATTTTGTTGGAATTTTATGTGATAGATCAACAATAAGATGTCCATAACTGTGAAAGGAAATCAAATGCTGAAAAATAAAAATAATAGTAATAATATAATAATACCTTTTTTTTTTTACAAATAAATATTTGGGTCATGATGATGTTGGTTCTTCATCACACAACATGTTGCATGTAAGGCCAACATAACTAACATTCAATATACTAACAATTTTACCTATGACTATCAGAACAAATGAGGATATTTTGGTTGAATAACCATTTTTAACCCTTCTCCAATTGTTTGAAAATAATGTATATTTTTCCTCAGACCTCACAATTATGTGCTCCTTTGCATTAATCTATCAAATAAAATCCCAATAAACCTTTCAAGGATGTGGTTGTGATGTGATGAAAGGATAAAATAGGATGAATACATTTGCAAGGCTCTGTATGTTTGGAAACTTGGTCAAGGAGAACTTAAAGATCCTGGCATCGCGTGTGAATGACACATCAACGAAGAAGCATTTCTTATTTTTTGCTCTTAAGAGTGAGGCCTACAGAGAGAATAATCTGTCTGAATTTGGTGTCATTGCTGAGTTAAACAGCATATGAATCATGAATTATGTGAATGGTTCATGGTTCATTCAAATGGTGACTGTGATGTTCTGTACTATTCATGTGCCATGTCATGATATCTGACGGGATTTCAGGATTAAACACGGGAAAATGACACTATCAATGTTTGGTTTAGCGGATGAGGAAAGTGTTAAGGTGAGATGGTCTGAGATACGTGCATACAGAAGGTTTAAAAATAAGTCGCACATGACTGAACTCTGCTTGAATTGATGCCATCGCTGATTTAAAACTGCCGTCTGTGTCTGTGAAGAAGGTAAAGGTCACGATGAAAAGTAAAGAGATTACTTGAAAAGGGGAAATGGAATGCAAATTTTGCATTTACTGTACCATTCACTGTACTGAAAAGAAAAAGTCTGATGGATGAATGTAATGCAAACTGATACATCTACATTTGTTTGCAATAAATGTTAAAATGCAAGACACTGAAACTGTTTTCTCTCCTTTCTTCACGTCACTCGTTATTCAGGGTGGTAATTTAGAGTAATCTTAAAAAGAACCTCTGTTTCTAGTGAACTGAACATCCGGCTCCATCGATGTTAGATTTTTCTTTACCAGAATCCATTATTTACACTTTCACTTGATCTGTTTAAATCCCAATTTAAGATTAAAGAAAGAAAATGTTTTAACTTTTGTAAGAACAAGTAAGTCCGTCTAAATGCTTTAAACCTAACTCTGCCTGACTCATAAAATTAACTTGAACTTTCCCTCTTGTTGCACAAAAGGAATTCTTACATATTCATATTGCAAACTACAAAATTAGGATATAATGTGTTTAGTTCATTAATGTTTTGTTATGATAAAATTTACTCGCAATTACTTTTATTTATTGCACCAAATCTTTTAGAAAAATTGTAAAGTGTTATGTTAATGTTAACAGGCTGTGGATCAGCATCATTCAGGCAAGAACAGCCACTGATGACCAAGAACACATTTGAACACAAATTCATAAAATAAGATCAAATAGCTTCAAAATAACATAGGTGAGAGGCAATCAAGCAGATTTATGCCAGCAGAAAAACACGTTTGGCATGTGCCGTGCGTGCGAGGTTAGCTTTCTGGTGACAGTGAAACATCATCCGGTGGTGCTTAAGTTTAACCTGACAGTTTGCTGCTGTGTTTACTTGGTTGCTGTGGATGCAGTGAGACTGGCAGACACCCGCTTGCCCCCAGCTGCTCCCTGTGCTTTCTAAAGAATCTACATTAGGGCCCAGTTGTTGCTTTTGGATGCCAGCAGGGGCTCTGATGTCACAGTTGTGACACGGGAAGGCTCAAGATTTATGGCCTTACCTGGATCAGCAAGGGAGTGTCATGTTTAGGTGGTCAAAGTAAGTCTTCTCTTTGCAGACTTTTGCTAAAATTGTCTGAGATGTGTTTCCTTGAAACAGTCCAAGAACCAAAGTGCATGGATTTGAACATATTTATTATCTGTCGGATGAATTGATAGCATTTGCATGCTGAAATAGTGCTTATTCAACAGGTAGAAGGAAAAAACTGTCGTTTGCAGTTTTGTAATAAAATAATAATATAATAATTTAATGATAATTAAATCTAGTATTATTAGAATTATTTCTAATAATTCATACATATTGCTATATAGTGGAAATCCAAAGCTAAATCTGTGATCAGAATTAAACAATAATTGAATCTGGTGTGAGATGTCTTCAGACTGCTGAAAAAACTATTGTCCTCAACTCATTTTGGTCCTGAAAATCTGAAGATGTGGTCTGCACTGGCCCCTACACCTCACCTCACCTCACCTCACCTCACCTCACCTCACCTCACCTCACCTTACCTCACCTCACCTCACCTCACCTCACCTCACCTCACCTCACCTCACCTCACCTCACCTCACCGTCTGCAAATCGTTTGGATTATGTTTTACCCTTCTTAGCAAAATTCCTCAAGCTCATTCAAATTGAAAGAATAACATCAATTTTCAAGTCTTGCCATAAGTTATAATCGACTTAGGTCTTAACTGGGCTGTACACATAAACATGCTTTTATCTTAAACCATTCAGTCGTGGCCGTGGCCAAGTCTCTTGTAGCTAAAGATTCTTCTTCTCATGTTTCCTCTGCAAGCAAGGCTGGTCCGTTCTGTTTTGATGAATTGTTGGTAAGTTGTAGAATGCCATCTGATCTGTTTGCTACTTCACTTGCAGTTTATTCACTGATGTTCTCTAAAAATCCTGAGGTCTTCACACAACAGCTAAATTTATGCAGAGACCGGATTATACAGAGATGGTCTCCGTTTACAAATTAGAGGGATGGATACTAGATTTAAAGGATTATGTCAAACATGTTTATTTCATCACATTAGAATTATACAGTTTTAATCAATCTAGGACAGTGCAAAATGTTTCATGAGCATATTTTATTGCCAGCAAATGAATTTAGTTTAATCTTAACCACGAAAACCAACAGCAATAATCATATTTTAAATAATTTCAGACATTTCAGTCATAGATATTTTTTAAAAAATACAGTCAATAGAAGTGTTCATGGATTCATATTTTAATATTCAACTTTCATAACTACTCTTGCAAGTACAAATACAGAAAACAATGTTCTGATATGTATTTTGCCTGTCAGAGTTATAAACAACTAGATTATGACAAATGCAATTAAAAACAACATTACTCTGTTAATCTTTCACATGTCGAGTCTCATTCGGCAAATTTATTTAAAAAATACAATATCATAGTCAGAAAAGAGTTTTCTGGTCCAGAAAGCTTATGCACTTTTTCCAGCTTCTCCAGTATTTACAACTTCTTCTTCACTGAAGCGTCACAGTTTATTATATGTGCCCACCATAAATATCATTTTCAAAGAAATCCAAAAACACAAAATGTGAGAGCTCCCAATTTTTGACAAAAACATTAAATTAAAATTATTTAAATATAACTGGGTCATTTTTGCCCCTTCGCCAATTCATTTCCTCTCTTTTTAGCAACACTTTGACACCCTTCTTTTGTTTACCTGTGAAGAAATTACTTAGTGCTAAATTTGTAGCTTTACAATAGTTATTTATTACAGAATAATTTTATGTGAGTTTATCAATCTAGTTCAGCATTTATGAAGATAAATGATACTAAAAATTCTCTAATCTCATCTTTGATTTAGTTGTATATTATTTTACAATTTCTTCCATTTGTTGTAGTTCTGATCTCAGAGATTCTACTACTATAAGATTTGATCAAACAAAAATAACTATAAGCATTATCGTTCTATTCGGCATCACATAACCACATTTCTAAATAGAAGACAATGAGCAAATTACATAAAGACTTTAGATTCTCAAAATGTGAAAAAAGCCATTAAACATCCCAGAGAGATTTGAGGTATAGACAGAACTAAATATTCTGCGACAAGACGACTATTTACATATTCAAATAAGAAAGATAGACATAATATGGCCAAAAATGTTAGAGCATGAAATGGTGAAGCAGCAAAATGACCAGCACCCCTTAAATACTCACAGGAATGTAAACGTTACTAAAAACATTAACCATTTCTCTTTTTTTTTTTCACCCTTGATGATCTTTCATTGCCTGAGAAATCAAGACCTGTTTTTTCAGTGTAAGCATGTGACAACCGTCTGTAAATTCAGTAAATCCTTTGGTAGTCGACACATCTGGATGTCTTCTCTACCAGCTGGAATCAAAAACCCTTTTGCACATGTTGGAGTTCTCCTGATGGAGAGGGAACTCAGAGCCAGGCACAAGCAGCTTTTTAGCCTTCCGTGACATAATGCTCTTCCCCGATGACAGGCTCTCATACCTGGAAAAGTATTCACTAAAAAATAAAAAATAAAAAAAGAAACAAAACACAAATAAAAGTTAAAGCTTGTATTAGCTACAGGAAAGTCAGACTATTTGGGGTGGAGTTTTCAGCTCATCGCTACCTGACAGGGAAGGTAGCCTTGTCCATCTGCATGCACACCAGGAAGGGATATTCAGAGAACTGGACTGTGGTGATGAAGTCCAAAGAGGCTTCTGTGTCAAAGCTGACCTCCACACCAGCCCTCAAAAAGTCCATGTCCACCGTTACGTTGCCAGTGACCACTAAGGCTCCTCTGGAGAGAGAACCAGACAAAAGCACAGTCAAGAAAAGTGACACAGTTCAATAGTGAACAGCTCAGTTCATCAGCTTCTTAAAGTCCGGATCACATGTTGGAGTTACACCAAAGAAAGGTATTCATTGAAAAACTGTTGGACTAAACATCAAATATGTTTATTTCTATGCACATGAGCCTCCCAAAATGACATTAAAATAGTTGTCTTTCGTAGTTCACTGTGTGACCTAAATTTGACTTAAAGTGACATGACAGCATGAGTTAGCTCAGCGATAAAACCATATTTAAAGGTTTGAATTCTCTTCCTCTTAAGCCCCGTTTCATCACCTGATCCCACAAGCCGTCTGATTCAGAAGTGATGACGCACTCCATTTTCAGCGGCTACTGTCGTGTGTTGACTGTAATGCTTTTAAAATAGAGACTCAGACACAACCCGACGTCGCTGGCACACGACAAAGGGTCTGGGCGTGAAGCGCAATCCTGGAGCACGGCCAGAGAGCCGGTGGAACGGATGAATCAGACGGTACTTATAGACCTGCTAAACTTCAGATAAACCCAGCATCAACAGAAATCCTGTCAAACTGAGTGACATGGAAGGAACCTCTAAATTTATCTTCCTTTCAAGACACCGAGATTGTTTTCTAAGAATTGTGTAAATGTCAACAAGGACTTTGACCTGCGTGTGCATTTAGTCATACGGCGCATATAGCACTTCTTTGACTTGGTGAGTTAATCCATGAATTTACGTAACTGAACTTTGGCCAGGACCCAGTCGCAGAGAGCACATCCTCTAATGATGCAAGTTGTTTATATCAGCGTTTTTGACCAGTACCTGTTATTGACACTGGTTTTTGACTCTCTGTACCACAGGCTTATCTCCATCCCTCCGGAAATGTCAATGGCTAAGCCTCCTTGAAACTCTGCATTCGCCTTCAGACCTGACTGAAGCTGGATGACCTGCAGGATGACAAATCAAAACAAAATGCACAAGAGTGAAGTTTTGAGATTCGGGCTGTCTGAGTAAGAAAGAATGTTTCATTGTTAAATTTGTGCATTTTTTATTATTTCCATAATAAAATTCTACAAAGTCAAAATTCATGGCAAACATTGCAATATTTCTCTTCTGAATTTAAGTTACATGTCATATATTTGGTGACGACTTAGAATGACAATGTTGTATGGCCGAAACTGTCGACTCAAACTCAAAAAAGAAATCTAATTTCAAATTTGTGGACAATTATTCAGTGATGGGGATCTCATGTTAACAAATTACAGTTTTTTACCGATTATAGCCAGCAACAGCATCACAAATATTTTTTATTTAAATAAAACCAAAATGTTTGTAAGATAACAAAA